CCCCTTAGCGTCCGTGCCTACACGCACCCCTATCCCCACGAGTGGTTCCCGACCTGTCGTGGAGCTCGTGTCACTTGTCGCGGGGACTCCTTCAGGTCCTCGGTACCCCCTGCCCCCCCCCCCTCTCTCTCTCCTCCGTGCGACTCGTACGTACGTACGTCTGAGGGGGCGCGGCACAGTAGTAGTGCGCTCTGTGGTGGTTGGTCGGAGTTAACCACCCGACCGAACCCAGTCAAACCCCTCCGGCTCCATCTCCGAGCCGAGCTGCGGGCGTCTCGTCTCTGAGCAGCCTATTTAGCGAGCAACGCCTCCGCCTCGCTCCCCATCTCCCCACGCGTAGCAGCACATGTGGCATATTCCCAACGTTTCTCACGTCATCCACCTCTGCCTGTCGTCACCGATGCGTTCATCACTGAGGTGAAAAACCGGTCTCATTCACCCCGATCATTCGTTGGTGCGGGGGTGAAATGCGTAGAGAAGTCGGAAATTGAAATTATTGTCGGTTCACGTATTGAATGTTCTTCCTCACTGACCACAGGCGCTGGGCAACCACGAGTTCGACGAGGGCGTGGCGGGCCTGCTGCCCTTCCTCCGGGAGGTGCGCGCGCCCGCCGTCGCCGCCAACTTGGACCTCGGCGACGCGCCCGAGCTGCGGCCGCTCGTCCGGCCCTCGATCGTCCTGGACGTGCGCGGCACCAGGGTGGCCGTCATCGGATACGTAACCCCGGACACGGCGGTAAGTGCCAATTAATTAGCAATCTAACGAAGGCGCGGAGCCGCGGGGCGCGGAGCAAAGGCGCGGAGCAGGGCGCGGCGGAGCGATCGGCCAAGCGGCATCCGATAGCGCGACGTTCTTTGGCCCGTAACGACAGCCCCTAATTCCACCCCCTCTACACCCCCACCCCTTGAGCGACCGCCGCCGCCCCCGCCTAACCCCCTTATCTCCCCTATTCCAACAGCCATCACACCAAAATCTCCTTATCCACCAGAACCTCCCCCACGTCGTTCTCTCTCCCTTTCTTTCTCTCTCACTCACTCACTCTCGCTCGCTCTTCCTCTCTCCCCCTCTCGTTGTCTCTGTCTCCCCCCCCCCAACTGCTGAGCTCTGTCGGTGAGAAAACTCCTCATTTACCGGTCCCTCCGCGGCGGCCCCCCTTCTCTTCCCTCTTGCAGACGCTCGCCAAGCCGGAGCAGGTGCGCTTCACGGACGAGATCCCGACGCTGACGGCCGAGGCGGAGCGGCTGCACGGCGAGGGCGTCCGCATCATCATCGCTCTGGGCCACTCGGGCTACCCCATGGACAAGGAGATCGCCGCCAAGGTGCCGCACGTCGACCTGGTGGTGGGCGGGCACAGCCACTCGTTCCTCTACACAGGTGCGGTACACTCCGGTGAGGAGGCAGGCGCAGCTCGGCCACCCCCGAACACACACTACTCCCTTACCCCTTTGCCGCGCAGGTGCCAAGCCGGACATCGACGAGCCCGTCGGCCTGTACCCGACGTTCGTGCGCCAGCCGTCCGGAAGGGAGGTGCCCGTCGTGCAGGCGTACGCCTACACCAAGTACCTCGGCAGGATCAAGATTCGCTTCGACGCCGACGGCGAGATCGCGTCCAGGGCGGACGTCCAGGGCCGTCCAATCCTGCTGGACAGCAGCACGCTGCCGGGTGAGGGATCGTACAGAAAGTACGTCCGTTATTCTCATATTCATTCGGCAAATTAAGGGAACTTAGCGCCTGCTAGTCTCAGGGTAGGCCACACCACAAGGCACGCATGCACTGCAGACAAGATGTTGCCTAGCTACCAGGCGCTATGGGCGCGAGTTGGAGAATGTGAATATGACCTCATCTCTCTCTCTATATGTCTGACTCGCCCTGCTTTCGGTCTCTCTCAGACCCCGTGGTGCAACGCGAGGTGGCCGCCTGGAAGAGTCAGCTGGGCGCCGCCGTTACCACCCCCATCGGCAGGACTCTCACCTTCCTAGACGGCAAGTGCAGGTCCAGGGAGTGCAATTTGGGCAACCTCGTCGCAGACTCCTTCGTAAACTACGTAAGTCTCGAGTGATGTAAATTTGTTCTGCGGACAGTTTCTAGGGAAAGCAATATCCACAAATTTGTTTCAAAATTATTTCGTAGTAAAAATCTTTGGTTTTAACCGATTTTATTTTTTCCAATGGAAAAATATCAGATTCTCGTGTCTAACCCCTTGAGCCTCTTGGGTTGTCTGTCGGCGGTGGCGGTGGCATGGGCCCAAGCGATAGCCATCCTCTCCCAAACAGCGTGCGGCTCTGGCCATGGCTAGCCATGGCGTGCTTGACACTCGTCAAGTGCCGTTAGCCTATACTTGAGTTGAGGCGGTCAACGCGATGCAAGGCCACCACGCCGGACGCCGGGAAAAGACACCGCAAAAATAAAATATGATACACGTCTTGTGCGGATTTTTTTTACAGAGAGCGCAGCAGTACCAGGGACCCGGCTGGACAGACGCAGCCATCGGGGTTCAGAATGGAGGAAACATCAGGACCTCCATTAACAACGAGGGCAACGGTTAGTTGCTCGAAGGCCCGAGCTCAATAAAGGGAATATAAAATTGCTAGGGCTGCACTTTTGTTAATGTTTCTAGAACTTCACCTCTAAAGCAGCCGATGACTATTTGCGCCCCCTTCTGCAGGCACCCTGACGCTGCAGAATATGATGGAGGCCTGTCCCTTCGAGAACTTCTTGGTGGTCCTGTACCTGCCGGGCAGTGTGCTCCTCCAGATGCTCGAGCACAGCGTGTACGGCTACGACCCCACGGGCCAATTCGAACGGGGCGGTTTCTTACAGTATTCGGGTGAGCAGACATCCACATATTGGAAATGTTGAATATTTTACTCGTACTTGTTTGTGGGAAGCTTGACCACCGCCCCCGATGCGCCCGCAGGCATTCGCGTGACGTACGACCTGACCGCCCCCTACGGGCAGCGCGTGGTCGCGGCCTCCGCGCGCTGCGCCAACTGCTCCATACCCAGCTACAGCCCCGTCGACGAGAAGGCCATCTACGGCGTCATCACCACCGACTTCACGGCCAACGGCGGCGACGGCTTCTCCATGCTCACGACTGCGCCCAGCGCCCACCTAGGTGGGTATGCGAGAGAGGAGGGGGGCGGGCTGTCACCAAGGGAAAGTCACCATCACCGAGCTGTGACCGGGACAGACCCTTGGCTAGGAGGGGGCTGTTTCCAGGATGCAGTACCAAGGGGCTGCTGGCAGGTTACTCCTCTCTCTCCCACGTCACCCTACTCTGTCTCCAATAATGCTATCACGGGGTGTTGTCTCTTGTAGAGGTCTATGGGGCCTCGGATCTATCTCCAAGTGCTCTGTTTCCTGAAGGGCGTTGTCACCGGGGCTTAGAGGTCTACGTGGTCTTTCTCCAAGTGCGTTGTTTCCTGAAGTGCGGTGTCATCTGGGCGTTGTCTCTGGTGAGAGATCTGTGCGGTCTACCTCCAACTCCAAGTGCGCTGCTCCCTGAAGGGCGACGTCACCGGGGCTTTGTCGCTGGTAGAGGTCCGTCTCCGAGCCCGAGCAGGGCGCTGCCCCCTGGAGGGCGCTGTCACCGGGACGCTGTCTCTGAGCGGTCTGTCTCCAGGTCGCTGTCATCAAGGGGGGCTGATCCGCGCGCTGGAACGCGACTGTAAAATGAATGGCAAAAGTAAGGTATAATCAGAGCGCCGTCAGCCTTCGCGGCGTGACCGCCCTTGGCGAAGAAGAAGAAGAAGAAGAAGAAGAAGAAGAAGAAGAAGAAGAAGAAGAAGAAGAAGAAGAAGAAGAAGAAGAAGAAGAAGAAGAAGAAG